ATGGCAACAGTGGGAAATTTTTTAACTGACAACATAATTATATAGCTATTTTTACAAGTTTTTTGTTGTAATTAAATAATTAATTAATATTATTATTATTATTTTTTATAATAGTGTGAAAACTTAGTTGTTCTTAATATAGATGATTTTACAATATCCACGAATATGGCTGCTGTGATGTAACAGATACTCACGATATTAGGTATTTTGTTACAATACTTTTGAAAGCCCTGCCAGAAGTAGCACCTATTCCATTTTATAATCCTAATAATCATAAAAAAACTATTTATAATGAAGGGGGTATTGATGCAACTATTATTATATCAAATGCTCATACTTATTTCTTTTCTCATTTATGGCTTAGTTATACAAGGTGTAAGCAGACTTTCAATGATTTAGTGTTTGAACCAGAAACCTACAATAAGCAAATTGAATGCCTTTTAATCCACAGCTACAATGACAGGATTAAACAACACCGCACTGATCGAAGTATGGAAAATACGAAGCTGGTTAATCTGGTAGAAGGATCCCTTAAATCGACCAATGATTATGTAAAAGCAGTTAAATGCTTAATAGATATTCCTGAGATAAAAACTTATATGGAAACACAGATGTTAGTAGCATCTATGAACTATCCTGGACAACTTAATATATGGTGTGCTATTACCAGTTGCATTAAGTTGAAAGACTCTTCTGGAATACTGGAACAAATTCTGTATATTGTTCCAATGATTAGACCTTTGCATGAATTTTTAAACAGTCACGAGACTGTGTTTTGTTAAATTATTTGTTTTTTGATAAACTTTTTCATTAAAATTTGGGGAAAAAAGGTTTTGGAGAAAACACCAAAACTTTATAAAATTATTTACTTTTAGAATTAGCATCACAGAGTTAGTCTCGAGTTCATATACAAATTCTTCATAAATTTGAACAGTTCAAAGATCTGGAAGCAAGATATCTTATTAATCTACTAGATAACATCATCTTATTGGTGTTGGATTTTTTTCCTATCATATTTCATAGTGGAAATTGGATAGCATACAAGGAAGCGATGTTTTGTATTTGGGCCATCTTTTATCAATATCAGTACTGACATTATAACAAATTACCATTAGCATTTTTGAGTGATGTTTTTTTCTGGTCTAACACTAATCATCCAATTTCACATGTTCTTTCAGATTCTCTTCACATTTTTAACGATTATTATGTAGAAAATTTCCACAGTTCACTTTGACAGCAAATACAAAAATCAAACACAGCGAACAGATTATTTGACAGGTATGAACAATCGATCAGATGCGCAGTGGCAATACATTCACTAAAACATTTTCAGAAGACCATAATATCAGAAATTCAGCTAAACAGTTGGAATATCTTGAAAGAATGCTGCACTCTTCTTATTGGAACTTTTTACGGATGTATATATGAATATCAGCCAATCGAAGGTTATACTCAATGAAAGTTCTGAAACTGAATTGTATGACTTCCAAAGCTAGGAGCTAAAGTTGATATCAAGATATTACCAATGGCTTGAAATACAGTGCATCCTCCTTGGGAATACAGATACTGTGATTTGAAAGGTTGTATAGATTCAAGTGAGGTAGGTTGTATTTTAATTTGTGAACATGCTTATCACTATGAATATTTTTTATTTAATTTAGAGAGTCAATGTCACTTTTGTGTCGATTACCTCATAAGCGGGATTAAACATAATTGCAAGGCCTCTCAGAAAACTTTGGAATCGTCTAGTAAGATAGAAATAGCTAAGGATGTAAATGAAAGTAGTACTAATGCTTGTGAAACTCATGATAGTACCAATATTAGCGTTGAAGGCCTTTTTTTGAATAATAGTATAGATTTACAATTAGAAAAAGCGATGAAAGTTTTATCGAATGCATAATTGTAAAATTTAATTATGAATAAGAAATGTAATTTTTTATTTTAAAATAAATAAAAAAAATAAATAAATAAAATAAATAGTATAAATAAAATTTTTATTAATATCTTTATTACAATTTAATAATCGGTATTAATTACATTTAAATTAATCTGTGTCACGATAATTTTCTTTTTTTTTAACATCTGTCCCTGCAGATTTTTGATTCTAATTTACAAGTATTTCCATATCCGCGAATTTTTGGACAAAAGCGAAAAAGTGAAATAAAATAAATAACTAATAAATAAATAAGTAAATAAATAAATAAATAATATTACGCTAACTCTGCTTAAGTAAAATAAATAAAAAATACTACGCTAACTCTGCTTGAGTAAAAGTTCTTTCGTAAAAAGTAAAATAACATTTTTTATATATAATTTATCAGCCAATCATATTTTAAAAAAATTAAATAAATGATCTACGAAAATTAGCCAATCACATAGAAAGTTCGCTATGTTAATTACCGCATATCATTATATAAATCGAATACAAGTAAAAAAAAAATAAAAGAATAAGATTTTTACTCGCTTACAAATGAGTGTCGCTTAAAGAAAACCCGAGCATTTAAATATAAGTCATATTTAAATTTTCGGGTTTTCTTTTAGCGACACTCAAATAATGGATCCTATTTGAGTGTATCGATCAATTCTTTACGACCATATCATCTATACAGTTATACCGTATCCCTCCGAAAATAAGCACTCCCCGAAAATAAGCACCCCTGGCCCACACTATGCCAACTTTAGCCCGCTTTACGACAATCACGGCCAGCATTAAGTGCAAATAAAGGGTGCTTATTTTCGGAGGAATACGGTATAAGGTAAATTGCGTAATATAACATTTTAGTAGATTTTTACACATTTGAATTTTTACTCGTTAGATCAAAGTTAGAACCATTTTCGACTCGTGAACCAACTCGGTTAATAGCTTTAGGGAAAATGAGCAACTACGATAAAATATATATGATTTTTCAGGTTTATTTTTATTTTCTCAAGGTTCACCACTCAATTAATTGTTGCAGATTTTATTTGTTTTCATTGTCCAACCGGTTAATTTTCTGATCATTATTTCTTCTCAATCTCTGATTGGTGTGTTCAAATGTTTCTTGATTGAACGAGTAGTTTACGCATTTTACCTTTGATAATATATAATAATAGATCTTATGAACCTTAAATTTCTTTATTAACCTTAATACCGCACTTTTATTTTAATTATTTTTACAATAAATCAAAAATTCTAATACAATTATCGACTCTGTTATTACTATATTTTAGTTCACAGCAAACGTATCGCTAATTAAAAAAGATTGATTAACATTATACACGCACTGTTTTTTTATTTAAACTAACATCAGACACCCCAATTTACTGTGGAATTATTTTTATAATATCGGATATGAAGAATTGCTAATTGACGTTGTATATTGTTATACAAAATTTATGCTTCTTCTACATGTCCTGTTTCGACAGCTTTTGAATAATAAATCAATGCTTTATGCTCATCCTTTTCAACCCCAATTCCGTTTTGATAACAATACCTAACTTTAAATATTCCATTAGTATTTCCCATATCAGCAGATTTTTTGTAATAGGTGAATGCTTTATTTTCGTCTTTTTTGACACCCATTCCATAAAAATAGCAATAACCAAGATTAAATATTCCTTCAACATGTCCTTTCTTAGCAGATTCTTGAAAATAAATGAAAGCTTTATGTTCATCCTTTTCAACTCCAACACCATTTAGATAACAACTACCAACGCTAAACAGTCCATCAGCATCTCCCATTTCGGCTGATTTTTGATAATAGATAAATGCTTTATATTCATCCTTTTCAATTCCAATTCCATGTCGATAACAATTTGCAAGGATATATATTCCACCAACGTGCCCCATCTCTACGGATTTTTGAAAATATATAAATGCTTTATGATCATCCTTTTCAACTCCAATACCACGTAAATAACAAACACCAACATTAAATGTCCCATTAGCATCTTTCTTCTCTGCAGATTTTTGATAATAAATGAAAGCTTTATGTGTATCCTTTCCAATCCCAATTCCTTCCTCATAACAAATACCAACATTACGTATTCCACTAGCAAGTCCCATCTCTGCACATTTTTGATAACAAATGAATGCTTTATTCGCATCTTTTTCAACGCCAATTCCGTGGTGGTAACAATTTGCCAAACTATACGTTCCAATAGCATGCCCTTTCTCTGCAGATTTTGATAATAAATGAATGCTTTATGTTCATCCTTTTCAACCCAATTCCTTCTTTATAGCAAAAACCTAGAGCAAAATTTCCACAAGCATCCCCATCTCTGCGGATTTTTGATAATAAATAAATGCTTTTTTTTTATCACTATCAATACCAATTCCATTACCATAACAATATCCAACATCAAATGTTCCTTTAACATGTCCTAACTCAGCGGATTTTTGATAATAAGTAAATGCTTTATGTTCATTCTTTTCAATTCCAATTCCATCACGGTAACAATTACCAAGTGCGTGAATTCCATTATAATCACCTTTCTCAGCAGATTTTTGATAATAAATGTATGCTTTATGAAGGTCCTTTTCAATCCCAATTCCATTTTGATAACAATATCCAACATTAAATATTCCGTAAGCATATCCCATATCGGCAGATTTTTGAAAATAAATGAATGCTTTATATTTATCCTTTTTTACTCCAAACCCATTTATATAGCAATGTCCAAGGGAATAAATTCCGGCAACATTTCCCATCTCAGCAGATTTTTGGTAATAAATAAATGCTTTATGTTCATCTTTTTCAACTCCAATTCCATCAAGATAACGATCAGCAAGAATAATCATTTTATTATCATTTTTTGTTTCGGTGGTTTCCTTATTTTCATTTTTTGTTTCGGTAGATTCCTTATTTTTAATTACTTCGGTCTGTGAAATCTGAAGTGGATCTATAAATAGTAAGCTTTTGCTGTTCTCTTTATCATCTTATCATTATAAAAAAAAAAAGATTAAAAATAACATTGATAATAATATAAATATATATAGATAAAAAAAAAACTAATACTACCTAAATATTTTGACTGTTTATCAGAATCTATAATATTTAGGGGACATTGTTTGCTAATATAGAATGTTTCAGAATGCATTTCTAAGTGAGATGGTGTGAACACCATGTTATTTTTAATCATTTTATCAGCCTCTCTTATTTGCACAACGAACTCAGTTACTTCATTATTTTTGATTTCATTATTCCAATTGCTTATGGTGTCGCATATTTTTTCAGAAGTTGGTCTTTCTTCTGGCTGATCATTCCAACATCTATTGATCAAATCAGCAACTAACTTTGGTACATGTTTTGGAATGCTTGGACGTAAACCTTTATGTATTTTACGTGCCAAATGAATATCATGTAAATCATCGTGATATGCTAGGATACCCGATGCTATTTCGTATGCTATAATACCAAAAGAATATATATCTGATGCTGTACTATATGCCTTACTATATAATACTTCAGGTGCAATATATGGCATTACGCCACATACTTCATCATTTAATTCTGTATTCGTTGAAAGTCCTAAGTCTGAAATATATGCACTATGCATGTTTTTTAAAAGTATATTTCCAGTATGTAAATCTCGATGAATAATATTTTGTGAATGAATCATCTGAAGATCAAAAGCAATGCAATTCAATAAAGTCAGTTTTTCCCCCATTCCATCTGTGAAATGGAAAAAATATTTTCACGCAATGAACCCATTGATGCATATTCTGTGACAATTATATAATCTTTAGAAGAACTATCCCTGGATATGCCCAAACATTTTAAAAACGTCAGATTTTTAAAACGAATATCACAATAAGCTTTCAGCTGGTTAAAATTAAAAATATAAAATATAATTAATGACCTATAGATAAAAATTGACTATATGATTCAGTAAAAACTACCTCTCTCATAAAGTTTTTATTACACACTTCTGATCCATGGATTAATTTAAGTGCAACTTTTCTATTTAAATTTATATTTTGATCGAACCAACGAGCGAAAAATATAGTTGCAAATCCACCTTTTCCTATCACTTTAATATTTTGGAATTCATTGTATGGAATCCATAATAACTGATGTTTATTTTCAATCAACAAATTTTTCAAATTATCTTCAATATCAGAATTTCTATATATCCATTCATTGGAGGCTAGTGAACATTGTTTATTTAGCTGTTAGGTATTTATTAGTAATTAGTATAATCAACTCAAATTAATATAAATTACCTGATGTTAAGCCCTTCTCCCTAATTGTGATTAAAATATAAGAATTCAAATTATTATAATCAAGAACCATTTAGAAACAAAATTTTTAAGAGTTTATATATACATTTGATACCAATAATCAGCCTTTTGTAAGTCTTGTGTAACTCCAATTCCGTTTCGATAACAATTAGCAACTTCAGATATTCCACCAATATCACCCAATTCAGCAGATTTTTGAAAATAAATAAATGCTTTCTGCTCATCCCTTTCAACACCAATTCCATTTTTATAACAATATCCAACGCTATGCATTCCAAAGCATCTCCCATCTCGGCAGATTTTTGATAATAAATGACGGCTTTATGTTGATCCACTTCTACTCCAACTCCATCCCGATAACAGTTACCAAGTGCAATTACTCCCTTAGAATAATCCATTTCGGCAGATTTTTTATAATGAATGAATGCCATGAGCCCATCTTTTTCAACACCAATTCCATATTTGTAACAAAAACCCACATTGTATGTCCCAGCAACATGCCCCATCTTTGCAGATTTTTGATAACAAATAAATGCTTTGTGTTCATCCTTTTCAATTCCAATTCCTTTATCGTAACAAAAGCCGAGCTTATATAGTCCATCAGCATGATTCATCTCTGCAGATTTTTGATAATAATTAAATGCTTTACGTTTGTCTTTTTCAACTCCAATTCCATTTTCATAATAAACGCCAACATTGTATATTCCATCAGCATATCCCATATCAGCAGATTGTTTAAAATAAATAAATGCTTTATGTTCATCCTTTTCAACACCAATTCCTTTATCATAACATAAACCAACATTATATATTCCATTAATATACTTCTTCTCAGCAGATTCTTTATAATAAAAAAATGCGTTACGCGCATCTCTTTTAACACCAATTCCTTTGTCATAACAAAAACCAGCATTATATATTCCAAGAGTATTTCCCATCTCAGCAGATTTTTGATAATAAGCAAATGCTTTATTCTCATCCTTTTTAACTCCAATTCCATTTAAATAACAATGTCCAAGACAAGATATTCCAAAAGTATTTCCCATATCAGCAGATTTTTGATAATAAGTAAATGCCTTATATTTATCCTTTTCAATTCCGATTCCATATTCATAAAAATGACCAACAAAAAATATTCCATCAGAATTCCCCATAAGAGCAGATTTTTGACAATAAATAAATGCATTTTGAACATCCTTTTCAACCCATTTACCAAAACGATAACAACCTGCAAGAATATTTTGTATTATAGGATTTATTTGATTATTCAAACACCAATGAATAATAATATCTGGTTTTTGTTTCTTTTCAATTAAAAAATGTTCCATTTTATCAAGAATTGATTTTAAATTTTGGTATTTTGATCTTTCTTCATTATACATTTCACATAATTCTGTTACAATTTCGCTGGGAGAATTCTGCGACTTGTTATTTTC